AGAGAAACAAAAATTAACAAAATGCAAAAATATAAAAAAAATTTTTTTATTTTAGGAACTTTTATAAAAGATGCTGTACGACGAAGACGCGATGTCCGAAAGAAGGATCGATCGTTGGCGTGAAATATCATGTGAAACACAATCTTCGCTCAGATAATGGCACGACACATGTCACAGACTAAAGAGGCAGCGATTGTTGTTAACGATATTTATACAATTCTATTTATAGCTTTCCGTACACACACGCATTGCTTCCGACAAAACAACTACTAATCTTTATCCAGCCAATATCGAACTAAATTTTTCTGAATCACGTCAATGTCTTGCACGTATTAGCTAATATCTTCACAATTAAATATAATCAGTTTAATAAATTAACTAATTACTGATCACTGGCGTCAAAGTTTAGAATATGCTATATTTGTAATATTATAATATTCAGATTATGCTATAACGGCACGTATACAAGTCAGAGTTGTAGCACACAAATTTCTATACTTGTAAGCATAAGACGTATCTGAAAAATTAGCGAATCTTTTATAAATATTTTGTGTGTGTGTGTGTATATTATACACAAATCAACTTTTTGTTTGCGGCTATCTAAATTATCTAAATTAAACTATCCAATAAATACAAATTATCTATGTGCAAAAATTTCACTGGTTGAATTAGTTGAAATTTATGTTACGAATCAATTTATCATTATTTCTCGCTTCCTACTAGATTACTGAAATTTAAAATTCAGATCGGTTTTTAAATTACGTTTCATACTTACGGCTGTGGAAATTTGTATGTACTTTGCTTTTACAAAATATATGTATATGTATACGCACGCACACGCATTGTCATTCTTCTTTTATATGTACACGCGAATATATCATCGCATGCTTGTCGATGTTTCGTGTGCAAAAAGGTCAATAAGACCGCCTCCTTATGCTGGACACGAGAGTCGCTAGGTTCTAACAAAAACATAAATAATAGAGTGCGGGAAGAGAGGGGAGAGTAAAGAGAAGTAAGTAAATTCCACCTCGCTCGATGCGCGGATAATCTACACCGTGTCATAGTGAACGCAGTACAGAAATCGTTGCATTTCGAATACGAAACTCGACTCGAGTGCGGGGCCTATCCTCCTTCTTTTTCTTTTTCTTCTTCTTCTTCCTCTTGTCTTCCTTATTTTACAAATCGGTGTGCCCTAAGAAATGGCACACCTCCTGCTCCTAGAGATCCGACGATGTTTTTAACATCTGCAGGATAATATCATGGATATTATGATCCTCGCCGATTAACTTGAAGAAGAATACGTAGTCCAGGCACTTGAGACCAATTGAACGAATAGATGGCAGGCGCAACAGCAGTTTAGCAAACCTGCCGGGGTCATCCGGCCAGGATACGCGGGTATATTCCTCCAGGGCGGCATAGATCTTCTCTCGCAGCAGGTTGACCTCTTGGACGGATTTGAGGCCTCGCACATCGGGATTGAAGAGAATGATGGATCTACACACAGATAAATCTCGTCGATACTAAATCGAAAGTTACGATTCACCTCAATTAGTGTTATAGTAAAAAAAAGTCAGATATTTGCAAGGTTATGAATGTTTCTTCCGAATTCAAGAAAGAAGAATGATAGAGTGCAAATAATAATACGTATCGACATATACATTTTGCATGTCGAATGAATCAGTCGTATGAATCAAAGAGTATATTAAAGACGACATTATTAAAGAGCATCTTCGCCACTTACCTAAGACATCCGAGTTCGGTCCTATCCATTTTCATCTCCCGCATCTTCGCTACCAGTTCCGAGAGTATACGATCAAATATCCCTACTGCGCCCGCCTGCTGTGCCGAAGTTCGATGCACCGTCATACCTACTGTGAGAACAATACTATCCTTATCCTTCACATCCATGGAACGATGGGAGAAGGCGGCTATCAGCAACTCATTCCAGCCATTTTTAAGAAGACACACTTGATCTTCTAGAGGCAACGAGGTAAAATGCGGGATGTGCCTCGCCCAAGAAACTAGCTGCAATAGTTGTTCGACCGTTGTGTGGCAAATGTGCGTCAAACAGTTCTAAACAGAAAAGAGCAAATTAATGTAAGAATTTGCATTAGGCGGGAAAAGGTGAAAAAGCATTATACTACTAAAAAAACCACTAACAGCAATTATACACTGGAAGTGTGTTCTTTTTATGGAATGGTAAATTTTCACACAAAAAAAAAAAAATTTACCAAATATTGGGAATTAGGGTAATATTCTTCGAAGAGTTGTTTTGCATTGTGCTTGACAATACTTTAACAATGGGAACACTAAAACAGAATTTTGAAGATTTACACACATATTTGTTGGCAATTCAACACACACAAGAATTTTTCATTTTATTATTTGCAATGTTAAATAATTAATAAATAATTAATACTTTTGTGCAGTGTTCAAAAAAATTGTGCTCTTATAGCTTCCACGATTGTTTTAATTTCTTGAAACAAAAAAAAAGATTATTAATCTGCATACTTGTGGCTATTGTTCCTACCAAAATTCAGAATAAAAATTTACTTATTGCAAAATGACATTACTTAAAAAAAATTTCAACTTTTAATCAATTTAAATTTTGGGAACCCTTAATAAAAAATTGAAATATTAAAAACATCAATTTTATTTTGGCACCAACTAGAACTGAACATCTATTTTGTATGTCTGTAAAATAGTTCAGTCTTGAGATTTTAAGAGAACCAGTTTGAAAAACACGATTTCAAGAAAAATGCATTCAAAGTTGCTCGCAGTCTATTCAACTACCTGAAAGATGGAATTCGCTCTAGCTTCGTTATTTTACTTGACCCAAGTATGCCATTTCAGGGACATATTTTTTAAATATTATACTTTTAAGTTTTGTAATTAAAGAAATCGATTTTTTTATTTCTCGAAAGGAGAATATTCCCTTAATAATAATTAATAGCAGTTAATTCTTTTACTCCGGTTTTAATTGCCTTTTTAAATATCGCTTAAAAATTATTAAATTTTGATAAAAGTTGATTATTTATGTATTCTGATCTAACAAACCTTTTTATAACATTCTTCACATTTGTTCATTTTTTCCTGATCTTTCCAAACGATCTGATCACATTCACACCATGATACGGGGTGAATATTTACCGCGCGTATATTTACTGCGAGTGCTGTGAAATTTATTTCCTCCAGCTTGCAATCGACCCGTTTTTCAGCCTCGAGGATGCGCTCGATCGGCATGTCCGCGTGCAGACTGCTCGTGCTCTCAACCTCGCTCTGATCCCGTTCCTTGGTGCGTTGACGTTCCTCCTGCACTGCCTCTCTCTTCATCCCCATGGCCAAGCACTTCTGGTATCGGCAGTACTGACAGCGATTTCTCTGTCGCTTGTCGATGGTGCAGGACTTTTCCTCGCGACAGGCATATGTCAGATCCTTACGCACAGTCCTCTTGAAGAATCCCTTGCATCCCTCACAGCTGAAAAGCGAATTCAGTTCAGATGTATATAACGACATTGTGCGCAGCGGCATTACATTCCGTTAAATTGCAGTTTCGCGCAATTCTATTCTATCTCGAAACAGAATTCGATTTCGAAGTGGACCGACCAGAGGCGATCAAACCATTAGTTTTGGAATTTCATCTAAAGTGGTTTTCGAGAAGTTTAAAAATAATCGTCAAGTGTTATTCAGGCTGAAGGAAATTGTTGCTGTGTCACGCGATAATTACATTGCGCCGTGCGTGGCACTTGAGAAACATGAATCACGGTCGACTAGAACTTCAGGCGTACAACAACAAAGTTATTTACAGCATCATTATATTTGGTTATATTGCACTTTCGTGCAATTATTCTATTTCAGAGCAGAATGTGTTATTTATCATAGGCAAATTATACTCCGTACATTTCTACTTCTAGTGCATTCCGGAATCATTATACACATTCCACTTTGAAATAGAATAACGAGCGGATATTTATCGATATTTCGCGTTCACTTCGACGTCAAAAATATGGATATCGGTGCTGGATAAACATAATTAAATTTTTTTGCATCGGAGCTCAGCTTATAAAAGCGCGAGGATTTTTAAGATAAGAAGGATTGCTCGGGCTGAGAAGGAAATTAATGCTGCGTCACACGATAATTAATGCGCTGTCCGGGGCACTCGGGAAAGGTGAATCACGGCCGACCGTCTCATATTTCGCAATAGTGCGACGACTTAAGTCCGCCGAATGATTTGTTGGCACTTTTCCCCGCGGCGTTCTCACAACAGTCTCTCGACATTCGGGGATGCATCGGATAAAGTAGCCCGGATTTACGACTCCTCGCGTGCAATTTTTATACAGCGTGCAATTGTCGGAGATAAAAATCGGCACGCAAAAAAAAATCGGAGATTTACCGCTACCGCGCATCGTCAGAGAGTGACGGTGCCAACGTGATCTTAATTTTACGCCAAGTATTTCAGAATATTTATTTATCAGCGATTGGTGATCGATTCATTGACCTAAGAAACATAACGACGCTGCACACGTTGAAATTGTCATAACAACGTCGCGCACGAATTATTTTCGACAATAATTTTTGCAAGAGAGTTTTTCCTTCATTTCCGTCATACTTTCGAAAATCTCGTGAGCGATATTTCGATCCGCGCGATCATTCAGCTCGCGGTTGTTGTCGTCGAGTTCGCGATTAGGAACGCTTCCATGAGTCACGGTCCGTTCTCAGGGTCGTCGTTTTTAAAGTTTTGGAACGTCTCCAGAAATCTCCCGTTGGGGCCAGAAAAGCGACGGCAAACACCGCGGGGAAAATTTATTTTCGCTGCAAATACATATCGCGTGTTTTCGCGAACGATTTCGCGGGAAGCCCTCTTTCTTCGCGCCGTGACAACGCAACGATGCCACATATTCTAAAAACGCTACATACTACCCGGCAAAACAAACAGCCGCGTTAAATTCCGCCGTCATCTACCGAGCGTAAATAAAGCCTGCTAAACGCGAAGAGCAATGGATATACGTCTTCGCTGTATACGTGCAAAAAACTCGATTATTTACGATAATCGAATGAAATGAAATTTCTTGCTTCATTAAACGTCTCCACAGCTCTGTATCTTGCGCGAATATGAAGTAAGCGATAGTACGTTTCAAGTAACATATTCCGTTGAAATCGCATTCATTCACCGCGACAGCGACCGATACGATCTTTAATGAGTTTCTCGCGAAATCAATTCGGGCGGCAGTCAACGCACCAGGAGCCACTGTTCCGGCAGAGCGCGATACATTATTTGCACGTCGAAAACGATCGTGACGGGCCTGTGCGAGGCGCATTCACAAAACGCATTCATGAAGACTCGAGGGTAAATCGAGCGGTGTCACACATTGTCTGGCTCGCGGCGCAGAATTCTCTCCCAGTTTCGCGTGCATATCGGCGTGCCGTGTTCCGACACGAAGACAAACGGTACGGCGCGCTAATCTCGTGGATTTTGCGAAACATCAAAATACCGCGTTTCCTCCGGCGAGACAACGCCTATCGAGAGACGACCGCGCGATACCGAAGTTTACGAGACGGCCGTGCTGTTGTTGTTGTGCAACCGTAATGTGCGCCTCGCGCGCTAAGTTTACGTCGTCGAACGCGCGCAAACGTTAATAAAGTACGCGTAATGTTTTACGTTAAATAACGCGAGTGTGGCAAGAGACGAGCGTTGGCGCCGTTAAATGCCGGGTTTAGGAATCCGCGATTAAAGTATCATACCTTTCCCAGATAAAAAGCACAATTTATTTTGAAAACATATTTAAATGGGAGAGAAGAAAGTGCAAGCGTTCAATTATACATTCGTGTCGTCTCACGATGCTCGTTTAATTGATCCTTGTCTCTCTCCGTAACGATCGTTAATTTGCAACTCGATTATGTTAAACGAAGGCTCGGTTACGACACCGCGTCTTTAATCGCTCTGTGAGCGCGGCACAGAAGAGGAAATTCTACGCATCGAATGCAAAATAATGATTCTCATACACCCCCACCGCGCGCCTACAGCGTTAGCAAATGAAATAATACGAGATGCTAATACGAAATGCTAATATCATCACGATGATACTACTAAGCGCTACGTTCCGATAGTCCGAGTGGCAGTCGCAGCGCGCATCTGTAGGGCGTAGGCGGTGCAGCGCACGTGATGCAATTTCTGGACCACCGTGGCAGCCGTTTGATCTCGCGGAGTTTATGCGAAAGACAAATATTCATGACACGAGACACATGTAGAGTCGCTCGGCCGCGCCAAGCACTCTCTCTCTCTCTCTCTCTCTCTCTCCATCGCGGCGCGAAGAGACCTTCAACGCGCCATATGCACAAATAATGTCGGCGCAGAAACTGCACAATGCACGTTCCTTGCAGTAGTTTTTTGCTCGAACGCGGGAAATTCCGCCGGAAAAAAATAGAAGCACGCGACGGAGGCGCGTTTCGTTTCGATATAAAAATAAAGCGTTGGTACTATTGCAAGATATATGGAATATTTATATAATAAAATATAGTTTTTTCTACATGCAGAAATTAAAGTGGCAAAACTGTGATTAATCTTTGTGAAATAATCGAGCGACTCCTCAACCGCACACTTTTCCATTCTCATTCGCGCAGAGTCGTTTGATATTGAAATTAATTCAGAACAAAGGGCGCGCCAGCTTCGACGGCAGTTTGCACCGTGAAGCTGAAATAAAACAATTCCGACGCGAGGTTTTCCAGCGGACGTATGCACCCGCCCGTGAGTGGGTATCTACGTCGAACAGTCGCGGCGCATTTATTCTGTGAGAAATGAACGCGGCGTGCCGTGGCGCACGCGAAAGGAACGCGAAAATAAGAGTAAGCGCGTTTCTCTAAGTGGCATACGGCGTTTCACTCCCCCCGCACTATCCACATTGTATGGTGTTATTACTGCAATTTGCGTGCGAGAGCATCGCATGACAGTTATGCATTACGCGGAGCGTATTAACATGTCCGAATGTTAGGCGCGACCGGTTTTTATCGACTGCCGGAGAGTCCCGGCTAATTACGCGCACCGAGAAGGGTGTACGCGCGCGCGCGCGAGATGGCTACAAATTGCCCGCGTATTTTTAATGAGATTAATTAAGTTCCCGCGGTGGTACCGGCGCGTCGGTTACGGGTCGGCTGCTTTTTCGTCTTCGAGCCATCGCATCGAATCGACCGATCCACAAATGCAAATCGAGCGCGCGCTCTCCTTCGCGTCATTTTCCGCGCAATGCGGCGCAATTATACGGCAATCGTAAGTAAGGTACGCATGATATCCCTCAGGGGAAAATGTTGAAGTGGCAGACAACTGTATGTTTCTTTGATGTTTCATGCAAATTTTACGTTCCGTGAAAGTATTAATTTACATACAAATCTACTACACTTCCACTCGTGTTTGTCACAAATTTTTTTTGCAAAATAATGTTACAACGAGCACGAAGGACCGGCCTTGCTGCTGACGCTAAGTAAATTTTTCCGTAATTTAAATGTTAATAAAAATAATTTTCAATTTTTTACATCCTCAAGTTAACAATATTCTCTGGAAGAAGCGCGAACGTAGCGAGCATATAATAATTATATTTGCCGATCAAAGGCATTTTATCGGTCAAAGAAGAATGAGCAGCACTGGGTTAAAGGGTTAATTAGTCGCCACTGGAGCAAAGTGCCTATATACAACGACGAGGGGAGGTGGGGAGGGGGGGCAGCCCCCTCCGCGCTCTCATAGGAACTACGGGTGGGTAGTCGTCCTAACTTCGTGAGCCAGCGCAGCAGCAAGTCCAAGGTTGATGGGGCTCTGATGCAACGCGAGCATCGGTGCGGCGGACCGGCCTGCAGCTCGGTGCAGCGCGCCATCGTTGCTGGAGGAACAAGGAGATGGAGGACGAAGAGGGGGGTAGAAGGGGGAGTCCCCGGCCGCTGCACATTGGGATTCTCTGCACGCGCCGCACGCCCGTGCACCATAGATCGACGATCCGACCTCAGCCGTAGCGCTCTAGTAGCAAAAATGGCTCGAGGTCGCCTGGCGATTCGCGGAAATTGGAACGGAATTCGCGATATCGGACGTTTTACGCAAGAACGTAAACGCCCGGATCGGCTGTGCCAATTCCGCACGCTCGGCAGATTTATCGCTGCTTTCGAAATTACTGTAACAAGAATACGCGTTGCATCGGGCAATAGAGAAGAGAAACTCTAATGATACACGTATGACGTGTGTTGGAAAGCTAAATAGCTGGAAAAAAAAACACAGATCTGCGCGTGTTCAAAAATAAAATTCCGATTGAAATAAAAGTGAGATCGAAACAGATTATAGATATCAACGTTGCTTGATTTAAATAAAACCAATGATTTGTCTCGATAAAAAAAAAAAGGTTTTCACTTTTACAGCGCAAATGTTATATTCGTCATTATTCGTATTCAAGTCGCACGCAATCTTTATGTGGTCCTAAAAGCTTAGGACGACTCACGAAAAATGATCGTATAAAATTCTCGAAAAAACCCTCGGACGGTTTTAGGGATCAGACCGTCGCAGGAATATTCGTTATAGCGACGGCGTCTTTTTTGCCTAAATCCCGAGTCGTTACAAAGCGGATCAACCACTTTTATCGGACAAGTACGTTAAGGGACTGAAGTAGAAAGTGAATAACGCGGAATATAGTCGTTTCGGGGGATCCACGAGATCGCTCTATCTCTTCGCCAGTTATTTTCGTCATTTCGCCGCGGTGATCTCTCAGCTCAATTCGATACAAGTTTTAATTAGATAAGTTACTTTGCGAATCCAACTTTCGTATTTGAGCTGTTTTGTAAAGACACCGAGGAAAATGTTAACAAGACCTATCGTTGTAATGAAATTCGTAAGCACGCCCCTCCGAAAACCGTACGATGTTGCAACGCATAAATTTATACCGACAGGCAGATCGTTACAAATGTATAACAATCAATCGTAACGTTGCTTTATATGCGAGGCTAATCATTTATACGATCGTAATATATTTAAGAATATGTTATCCGTCGTTGGAATTTATTTAAATATTTCTGTATGAAAATTAAGTTGTACTATTAAAGTAAAAAAAAAAACTCTTGCGAAATTACAAATTTTTTTTTGTACAATGCGAGATCTTTTTAGCGAAAAATTTAAATTGTCATGAATTAAGCGCTTTTTTTTTCAATAAGACGGGCGGACAAATGTCGCGCTGACAGGGTGCGGAATACCGCTATTACGCGATCGTGTTTTCGCGACGACGAGACTATTCAGCCGAGGTGTTCGCGTGTTCGCATAAAAGTCATCGCAGATGTTTCTTTTCAGCGTGCATTTTCGCGGACGCGCACGCAACGCGGCGGTTCGCCGCGAACGAACCTGTTGCAGCTGCAACACGAAAGACGATACGCGTTCCCGCGACGACCGATGTGCGGTGGAAACTCTTTCGCCTACTATCGAGTTTCTTCGCCTCGCGGCGGCGTTACGCTGTCTGTTACGACGCGCTTGGTTCGTCGACATTTTTATTATTCCGCCGGACGACGGTTCGACGCACCGATTATGCAATTATGCAAACGCGACGTCGCATTTGCGGCTTTTTTTTCTTACATATGCACGCGAGGAACGAATGTGAGAAGCCTCTATTAATAATCGAACATGTGTATAAACAAGCGAGTCAAAGTTCAGCGTTGACGAAGAATATTGTAAAATCCGAAGTTTGACAAATATTTTAGGAATTACACGGCAAATGTAAAACATTCGATGATAAATGCGACTATTCACGCGTATAATCTAAAAATTTAAAAAAATTAAAAGTATCGGGATAATAAATTACGTCCAACTTGAAAGCGTACTTAATATTTAAGCAAAATCATGGCTGTCAAATATGAGCGCAAGTTCGCAGACGGCAACACGAAAGCACTTTGACGAACACGTGTCCACCGACGTTCCCCTCGAAGAAGTTGATCCCTAAAGATACGAGACAACCTCGAGACTGACTTATCAAGCGCCAAATAATTGATGAAAGGTCGATGGTTGCCTCGTCGAAGAATCGTTCGAGCTGTTCTGCTAGGAAAACACCGGCAAGAACTTTTTCGCTCGCCCCACTCATCGATTTATTTGGAATTAAAAGTTCGCGATCAAATCTTCGTATTTGTTTTGCGACACAAAGTGTCAGAGGTTAACGATAATTGGAAAAAAATAAAGCACTGATTGTCGGTGCGCTTATCGCGACGTATCGCTTTATAGGTAACGCGGCCGAGCTGCATGAATAAACGACGCGCTTATTATTGTTGCATTCGCGGGTAGAATCGTTGGGATTATTCATCGTCTTCCGTTAACGAGGGTCAAGATTATCAAGTGAATCCGAAAGACCTTGAACCGCTCTCTTTTTTCCTCTTTCTCCGCCGACGATAGAAAAGTCATCGCGCAACGACCAATTCATACTCATAGGCGCGTATCTCTCCTTCTTCGCCGATAAATCGCCTTTCGCGAGCTCGCTTGTTTTTTTTTCGACGTAAAACGCCACGGAGGAGTAATTATTTTTGCAGCTGGACGAAAAGCGAGATGCACAAGAGAATATTCAAACGAGTTTGTTCATTCTCATTGAAGTCGCCGCTTGAGATTCAATATTGCCATCGCCGATGGAAATGCCGATTATATGTGCGCGCGTACATTTCTTGAATAAAATCTCCGCGCGTCAAGGATCGAAATTTGCATGACAAACATGAGCGCCAGAAGGAATAAAACGTTTTTGCAATCCTTAGACTTCTATCGGATACGCGCACTTCCTACGAATGTATAATCGCGAAACTTCAAATGTTTCCTACGGATATCGTGCATACAAATAAATGTTTCCTTTGACCTTTGACCTGAGCCAATCCTCCACAGTACTCCACCACTTCGCAATGAAAACGAGAATGATAAGTAGCAGTCGTTAAAGTTACCGAAGTCGTCTCGATCGAATATTACTGACTAGTTTGTTGCGCAACGACGCGGGATCGTGTCTTACCTGTAAACGCCATAATGTTTGCCACTAGCTCGATCACCGCATATCGAACACAGGTGTTTGCTGCCCGACAGCGGGTGATTAGGCGGATAAGACGTGACCGTTTTGCTCTGGCCACTGGGCGATGTACTCAGGAGGTTGCTGTGACAACCAGCATTGAAGGATCTTTACATGCAAATCAGAGAATGTTCATCTATAAATCTACGTCGCTACGACCGTGACGTGCATATTTGGGACACCCTGTATATTGTATAAGTTACAAAGTATACTTTTAAAATCTCAATGTAAGCGAATAATCACAGTAATTGTTTTATTATAAGGCGATGTATAATATTTTGAACAAAAGTTTTTATTTAAAAAGATTAAAGAACAAATTGCAGTTGTATATTTTTTAAATTCCAACAGAAAAATTTCTTTCGAATTTGTCTCGGACAAAATTGGCTCATATCTACTTTTGCATTAATATTTAAGAAAGGACACTTACCCAGGACTGTTAGGACCCGACGGACTGAAGTTCCCCGGATTGATAAGCGCCGTGTCGGGCTTCATGTCGAGAGGACTCTGCGGGCCCACTGACGACATCGACATATTGCTGTTATCTAAACTCAGCCCTGCAACACAAAATAAATCGGATTCATTTTATCTGAATTCGATTTCGCATACTACTTATTTTCGTAGATATTCATTTCGCTCGCATATTGAATGCTAATTTTTTCCTCTTAACGTTTTCAAATGACAAGAGAGTATGCGATAAAAAAAAGCGCATGATAAATACATTCTCCGCAATTTACAGGCAATTCCTGACATTGCATGAAACGCAGCCATTATCCGATCGTTATTTTACAACTGCTCTTCACGACACCCATCCTTTCTAAAGCGGTGAAAGGGCGTAGCGTGAACCATGATTGAAGGCATTAGGCGCCTTTCTCAGGCTCGTATCTTCCGCGTCCTTCGGCATTCCTCTCGCGAATGGCGCTCCCGCGAAGACGCCTCTCGGTGATAGCGGACGTTGCCGGCGCGATCGCCGACCAGCGTAATTTACAGGAATTTACGGGAAATCTGCGTGCGAAAACGTGAACGCTCGCGGATGCGGCTTGTGTACCTTGTGTTCCGATCGATCGGATCGACGTCTCCCTCGATACAAGAGCTAAGTTCGCGCTCGCTGCAAGAGGAAGAGACGAACAATTTCGCTCTTGAAGGTCGGCCGGCAGTCCGATCGATCAGAAACGCGCGATTACGCGGTCACGGAACGAGATGCGACCGCGCGAGCCGACGGTCGCAGGTGCACAACACACGAAGGCGCTTCCAGCGAAGACCGAAGTAATGTCTCCGCTGTTTTGTTCGTTTCGAATGGAGAACGAGACTCTATCATTATCCCTCGGAGAGGGACTTCTCTCTTCAGCATCGCGTGAATACGGGTTTTCTCTCTTTCCGTGGAATGAGAAAATTGCACTTTACGTGACGATGGAATATCTTTCATATTAATTAGTAGTGATATTAGAATTTAGAAAATCTCTACAAAAAATTTAATCCATCTCAAAATATCTATTTAATTGAGAAAAAATGCGGGACTTTATGAGTTGATAGATAGCGACCTTGCCATTTATAGTTTATAATACAAAATGTGAAGAATTCGCATTAAAAAAAACGTCTAAATATTTATAGAGACGAGACGTAAATAAAATTGTGAATTTTCGAATTTGTAAAATAAAATATTCATAAAATTCCTTCTCTAGAAATATAAATGTAGATGTATCAAGATTTTAAGAAATCAAGATTTCAGGCCATTAAACTTTTTTTTTACAGTCCATGACATTTATGGAGTTTAATGTCTCGAAGGATCCATTTATGGCACTATGGAGACCCTTGAAAGTGAGAGTCTGCGGAGACAAATGCCCGAGAGGGCAAGAATCCAGGGAGCGAAGGAAGCCGCGGGTTCCACAAAAGGACCCGGTTTCACGCAATCAAGAATGTGCAGTTGCGAAATTTGTATTGAAAACTCATTTCGCCGGGGCGCGAGATTGCGTCCCGGATAAATGAGACTGTAACAAATGGTTTACCGCCGCGGAGATACAAGTCGGCAGAGAGACAAACGAGATAGAGAAAGCTTCATCCGCCAACCACGAGCAATCGGCAACTAACTTTTCGTCCTTTGTATCGCTCGGTTTCTGCATAGAGATCTTGCGAAATTATGGGGTATTGATTCTCGCGATCCGTTTCTTCGTGCGACCCTCGACTGTTTATCAGCCGTCGTTCCTCACCCCTTTCGCTTCACCCTCCGCAACGTGGATTCATCCTCCCCGAGGAAAAAAGGTCTCTCCGACACAAAAAACCAATCCATTCTTGCGCTCGATGCTTCATTCATTTTAACGGCGGCAAAGTAATCGTGTTGTGAAAAAAATTTCGTCGTTTATCAAAAGAGCTTCTTGCGTGTTGGATTGTTTTAATTTTTTGTCCTAACGCGTAGCCCAAATATCGAAAAAGATTGCCGAAAATTAATCACGTAGAGGGCATCGGAACGATGCCTCCGCGTCTACTGCAGCGTGCATGATTAGCAGCAGTCATCAACTAGCGTGTCAATCGAAAGGGTTATCTCTCCTCGATGACCTTGTCCGACTGTATCACGGATATTTTTCACTTTCTATATTCAGCGGGTGGTCCATTATTGCCAGACGATGACGAAAGCTCCTGGCTCGCGCACCTCCGACTCGCGTTTTCTCCGCGCCGTTGGGAGTTGGGGTGGAATGTCCGGGAAGATTAACGACATTTTAATCGACTCCAGACACACAACCGTCGGGGGACGCAATGTCGACGAATGTTTACGGGACAAAGGCGGCATTAAGGCTTGTTTGGGTGATCTATAATTCAGGATAGAATTCAGGGCAGAATTCTATTCACGGTGTACTTACGCCAAATTGCGAATATAATTGAGGATAAAAAGAAACACTAATTTTAAGCCTGAAAATGTTTTCTTATCTTCGGTATCTTAATTATAAGAGTTTTGTCTCAATTTGCAAAGCTTATCTTGTCGCGTTAAATTATTAAAAATTTTTTTTCTTATAGACATTATGAGTTTAAGAGCTTATTATGAGCATGCCATCGTTTCACGTGATTTTTAATTTCCTAAAAATATGGACAATGAAAATAAAGTCTTGAATTCTAGTCGCGAACTCTAAATCGTCTAAAATGGCTTTTACATCAGCGGAGGTGGCCGGAGCAACGAGCGTCCGTTCAGACGATTCGTTGTTGAGGACGCGTCAAGTGCATCGGTAATTGCACGCCTGACGTCATTCTATCACTCTCTCTCTCTTTCTTCCTCCACTCTTTCTCGGTTTCTCTCCGGCCTACTCCGGTCGACCCGTTCGCTCGGAAGCGCATCACTAACCGACAAATGCGCAGCAGACGGACAGATTGGGATTTATGGCGGTAATGCCCCTGCACCAGGGATGGCCGCCAAGAAAACATCGATGGTCACTGATCAATACTGAAGGCGGCATCAATTTCTCACAGCGAGAAAGTTCAAAACTCTATATTGACGTGTATCCACGTGTACCACATACGCTAAAGGATATTATAATTATTTAAAATCTATCAAATATAATTATTAAATTACAATTATTTAATTCCGTCAATGTAATTCAATTATTTAAAAAAAAAAAAAAAAAAACCCCCAACGAATTATGTTTTATAGAGTCAACAATATTCGTTTTGATATTTTTGTACATTTTACTCCGATAAAAGAGTCGATACTTTTTTTTTCTAAAATGACCGACGTCGCGCCACACCGGCGAATACGGCGATTATTTTTAGGCCAATGCAACGGCCGGCGGCACGTTATATCGGCCGTCGGGAGTTCGTGGACCGAGAAGGAGCGGACCGTTCGATCAGGAGGAGCCGAGCCGAGCCGAGCCGGTGGAACGGGGCCACCACGTGGTCGCTCCGGTGACCCACAAAATGATTTATGCGGTCGATCCGAGACCGTGGAGAGTTCCCTCGCTGGAATTATTTCTTCGGTGTGTTCGCGCGCCGGTAATTCGCGATAACGACCCGGGGATCGAAATAGCACGTGGCGTGGATTCCACCTTCATCGGTGTATATTGGATTTAGCGGCGGATTCCACACTCAGTTTCCTACAAGATGGAGAAGATAGATTGTCAGGCTCTAGATGGGTATCGTGATCGATTAACGGTCCGTAAAGTAACATATTTTTTTTCCTCGTATTTGCGGCGTCGTCGTCGAAGAACACGGGCAAACATTTGTCTTAATGTTTGAGAGTTCCGACCTCCGAATTGGCACGAATTTCGCCCTCGTATCTCTTTCGCGTTTTCACGATCGCTTTCTTGCCGTCCTAATTACGGCGGAAGCGCCGTAACGAGAGGCAACAGGCGTGCTCGCTCGACTTAAAAATTCTCTCTCGGTCGGTCTCGAGAAATCGTTATCGACGAAAAACGGCGTATTTAGTAATGTTTCGTTATGTATACACGAGCGATGATCTCGGCGTGTTCATTCGGTGTGTGTGTCAACAATCCGCTGCGCGTCGCGCGCGCGTAAAGATGAGTTATACATCGAGGTCGTAGCTCTCGCTCTTCTCGCAACTGACTTCTATTTCGAGTGTCGGGTCGTCGTCGTCGCTTGCGTGCCACTCATCACTCTCGTTTATTAAGCACTGCGCCGCGAGTTTAATTACGCAACCGGCCGGTCGTACCGCCGGCCGGCCGGCAAAGCGACGAACCGAAGGTCGTCGACAGTCCGCGAGAGACTCCGCGACGCGGAGTGCGCGCGGCGAGGAATGCTGCAACGCGAGAGATAGAGTGCATCGTGACGCGCTCGCGCTGGCAAGTACGCGCCGAACTGACGCGCGACTCCAAAACACGAGCACACATATAAATATGATATTCGTTAAATTTTCACGAAACGTAACTTCGTAACTTTGAAAATTTGGCCTATATGAAGTTAGCCCCCCATTTTTCGATTTTGAATATTTTTTTAGTTGTTCCAGGTTGTTCTACGTTTGTTCTATATTGTTCCAAAGTTATGAACAAAAAAATCGAAAAACATGACGGGAAAAGCAAAAAAACAGAGTTTATTTTTGTGGCCACCCATTTTTTTTTAAATTCAAATTTTTTTGCTGTTCTGGATTGTTCTAATTGTTCTAAACATTGTTCTAAAATATTAATCCCCCTAAAAAAGAATTTAAAAAGATATAGCAAAAAATAGCATTAAGCGTCCAAATAGTATTTTTACATTTATCGCTATTATTATATTATGTTTTGACACCAAATTACATATTTAAGCTAAAAACGAATAGAACAACCCAGAACAACTCTCAGTTTCACCAGAACAAACATATAAAAGGCACTTTACTCTTGAAGATAGAGAATTATTTTGTCTTTTTCGACCGATAATGTTACATCAGCGACACTAAAACCTAGAACAATGAGAAATAGACACAGAACAATCCGGAACAACTCTCAGTTTTGTCAGAACAAACGTTTAAAGAGCACTTTACTCTTGAAGGTAGAGAATTATTTTGTCTTTTTCGACCGATAATGTTACATCAGCGATTAGTGTCGATTACGTGTTTTTTTTTAATTTTTTTATTTTTTGAAAT